GGGTTTCGGGTTCAGGGCTAAGGGTTCAGGGTTCAGGGTTCAGGGTTTAGGGTTCGGGGTTTAGGGTTCAGGGTTTAGGGCTTACAGGGTTCAGGGTTTAGGGTTCAGGGTTTCGGCTGCAGGGTTTCGGCTTCAGGGTTTAGGGTTTAGGGTCTCAGGGCTTTCTGGGTTAGGCTGGTGAGTGAGCCAGGGGAGTTGCAGTAGGTCAGTAGGGTATACGGTTAGGGATTCGGAGTCTCTCTACTGCCGGGTCCTTGCGCGAGGAATCTTGCTATAGAGGATCCTTTTTTCTCGATTTTCTGTGGCCCGGTAAGGCTTCATTTGACTACAGTGACTACAGGCCGTACGCGGTGCCGGGGTAAAGCGCAACACACAAGACAGCAGGACGATAGCTGTGCAAGCAGGGAAGTCATTGCTGGTGATGGGCGGAAACGTCCTAGTGGTCGTCGCAGCAGCAGTTTCATACCAGAAATCAACATTCGTGGCTCTCCTACACCCCAAACCCTAAACCCTAATATAGAAGCCTAAATAATTACCAATATTAGTCTTAGGGCTCCTTATTACAATTTTATTATAAAGGAGCCGAGCACGTTATTCTAATTCTTAAGGCCCCTACACTAGGCCTTAAATCAAAAACTCCCAAACTATGAGATGGGATTCCAGAAGCCTTAACCCGTAAATCCACAAGCCTTTCCGCCGCCAGGCATCGAAACGCAGCGGCTCGACCTTGACAGGGATCCTGGCCGGGATCTCAACTCGTGGGGTCTAGGGTTTAGAGTTCAGGGTTTAGGGCTTCAACGGGTTTCGGGGCTTTTTGGGGGAGTCGTGTTTTGGAGCTTTGTGGCGACTGGCGAGGTTTCAGGGCCCAGTCAGGGCTGCATGCAACCTTGCATATGTATGTCATGCGGCAAACTCGACTGGCTTCAGAAGTGGTCATCCAGATGAGTGCAGGCTTTGACCCCAGCCCCTAAATCCTAACCCCTGAACCCAAACCCCTGAACCCTAACCCCTAAACCCAAACCGCTAAACCCTAATCTCGAACCCCTAAACCCTAAACCCTAACGCCTAACCCCTAAACCCTAAACCCTAACCCTAAAACCCTAAACCCTAACCCCTAGACCCTAAACCCTAACCCCCAACCCCTAACCCTAAACCCTAAACCCTAAACCCTTAAACCCTAAACCCTATAGCCCCTAAGCCCTAAACCCTAACCCCTAAACCCTAAACCCTAAACCCCTAACCCTTAAACCCTAAACCCTAACCCCTAACCACCGAAAGCCACAAAAGCGCCCAACGCTTTCTCCGACAATCCACGGAGTCTTTGGCCTGGGCTCTACGAGCGACGAGAGAAAGCCAGGGCTCTGCTCGCTAAAACGCTGTAATCTCGGGGCTCCTTATTATTTTTTGTTGCTATTAATTATTATTATCATTATAAGTATTTAGTTTTATTTTTATTTCGATTATTGTTATTATTTTGTAATATCATTATTATGATAACTATTAGTAGTATTATGATAACTGTTGTTGTTGTTATTATTATTATTATCATTATTATTCATGTTATTATTATTGTTATTATTATTAGTATGAGAACTATTAGTAGTATTATCATGACTATTATTATTATGATTATTGTTATTGTTATTATTATTATCATTGTTGTTATTATTATTGATTTCTATTATTATTATTATGATAACTATTAGTATTATTATGATAACTCTTAGTATTATTACTATTGTTATTATTAACTTCTGTTATTGTTATTATGATAACTATTAGTATTATTATTGTTATTTTTATTCCAGTTTAACATACCCCCCAAACCCTATTCTAATTATTAAGGCTCCTGCATTATTGCGAGACGCATCTGTCTGGCGAAAATCCGGTTCTACTGCTCACTGAACTTTGGCCTGTTGCTCGGGCCCAGAGCACTGAACGTTTCAAATTGACCCTCAACCCTAAGCCCTAGACCCTAGCCCCTAAACCCTAAACCCTAAACTCTAAGCCCTAAACCCCAAACTCCAAAAACCCTAAAACTCACGTTGCATCCCTGCCACCAAGGAGCCCAGGGCCGGGGCGAAGTTGCGGAGGCCTACTATAGGGGCCTTAATAATTGGAATAGGGTTTGGGGGTATATTTTACTATAATTATAATAAAGAACACCCCCCGAACCCTAAAGAACCTACCCTCTTCAAGGACTTAAATAAGGAAATCAGAATAAGGCGGCCCAAAAAGGGAGGTTCTTAAGGGTATTAGGGCTAGGGTCAACGGTTTGAGGCTTCACGGTGCGGGACTAATAGCTTCAGGATCTGAGGGCTTTAAGGGTTTAAGGTTTAGGGTTTAGGGTTTAGAGTTAAGATTTGTTGGATTTGGTTTAGTGTTTTGGAATGTGTGTTTTGCTTTTCGGTGGCGAGGGTGTGGGGTTTGAAGCCTTCGGCACAGTTGCTTCGTCACCGAAATCTCGCGAAACCTGGAGGGCTAGGGTTTACGTTGAAGGTTTGTCCATGCGATGAAGCACCAAAACGCCTGTAAAACTCTGCAAGCGCCTGGTGGTCATCGGAATTGAAACTGAAAGGCCCCCCCAGATCCTGAATGCAAGCCCTAAGCCCTCATAAACTAATATCAACAATCAAACCCTGCGATGCCGTATGTTCACCGTAGCCGACCCTGAAACCCATCCTCGCACTCGATGTCAAGTCTCGCCCCCCAGCCGAAAGCAAGAGCTGTTTGAACATGCCGTGGCTAGGGTCTTGGAAATGGAGTGTTACCGTAAACCCTCAACCCTACGCCCTAAATCCGAACCCTGAACCCTAGACCCTGGGAAGTGGAATTTCCGCCAAGCAAACATGCTGCAACCACGCTTGAAGTTCTGATAGAAGGGCCTCAATAATTACCAATATTATTTTAGGGGTTCCTTATGATAATCATAGTATAATAATGGGCCCCAAAACCCTAAACCCTAAACCCTAAAACCCTAAAACCCTAAAACCCCAAAGCCCTAAAACCCTAAACCCTAAACCCTATTCTAATTATGAAGGCCCCTACATAGGCCCTCCGAAGCTCGAAGAGACTGGAAGCCGGGTTTTTTTGTTTAATATAGGGGCCTTAACTTAACAGTTTGGTTTAGGGTTTAGGGTTTAGGGTTTAGGGTTTAGGGACTCTTTTGGGGTCCCTTATTGTAGTTATAGTATAGTATACCCCTAAACCCTACTCTAATTCTTAAGGCCCCTACATTATGCTGCAGGATCGGGCATGAAGTCTAGGACCTACAGCAAGAGGACGTGAAACCCAGACTTAAACACTAACTGCCTCGAGAATAGCCTCTGGGTGCGACAACTTGAACCTAGAGCCCGTGAGCCCCCCAAATCCAGCATCGACGAGTTCCCATAAACTAAACCTAAGCCGGGAAAGTAGGAGTAGACACCGTAGAAGCTTCTAAGATCAAGGTCGCCTGAACCCCTGTCTATAGGTTTCACTGTACTCTACCACCCTCAACCCTCACCCTAAACCCCTGAAGCCCTTAACCGTAAACCTTAGTTTTCGAATCCTTGCGTTGCTTTCGCAGGATTCCCTTGCAGAAGCTACAGCTCAGTTGGCCCAGGCTGCGGATGATATGACGCATCCTGGCACGAGCTTGGTACAGCAGGGTGTAAGCGCGTGGCCCTTACCACTACAAACCGGTTTCGGGGTTTTGTTTGGTTGTGCAAGTCCAGGGTGGGGTGTGCAGGCCCCGGAAAGGTCTAGCGACTACCAGGACGTTCGAAGATCGCATCCAAACTTCCGCATGCACTATGTCGAGAATTCGGAGACGTACCTTCAATGTTATCTATCATAATATGATGTATCTTCTATTCTATAGTATATCCAATGTTCCAGGCCATCCAAGTTTGGTGTCTGAACGCTCTTCCGAGTTCAGCGTGATGAGGGAAATGTTTTGCCAGGTGCATTTCGATTTCTTTATGACAACACCCAAAATTTGCATCTTGTGTGGCCTGACATCTTGTCACCAAATCCAGGTTTAACGTCCGGTGGTCCGCCGCAGGCTTGTGAACAATGCCATCAGTAAAACGAACATGGATGCTGAAGCAGGGCCTGGTATGGATTACAGTGCCTCTATCTTATCTACGAAGCTATACATCTGTCTGGCTGTCTGTCTGTCTACCTCACTATCCAAAGATCTATCCTGTCTACCTGTCTGCCTGTGCATCTGTCTCTCTGTCTGTGTATCTGCCTAGTTATCTATCTATCTGTCTATCTATCTATCTATCTCTCTTTCTATTTATCTATCTGTCTACCTGTGTATATATATATATATAGACGTATATGATACATAGCTAACGACCGCCATATCTACCTGTTGATCCTGCTAGGCACCTGCATCGATCTATCCATCTGTCTGTCTATGTACCGATCGATCTATCTATCTGTCTGTCTACCCGTGCGTGTGTGTGTGTGTGTGTGTGTTGTATATGTATATATATATATAT